CACCAGCCGATAATGAGGGTTCTCAATTACTCGTCAACCTCCAAAAATTATTTCAAAGCCTCCCAAAAATAGCTTCAGTTTCAATATAATTATACTTCTGTACTAATACAAAAAAATTACCTAGGTACTAATCTAGTTCATTCAATTCAATTGAAATAATAATAAAAAACAAAAACCTCTAATTATTCCACAAAACAGATTCTAATAATTAAACAACCTATTATTATTCACCGCGATTAAAGTACAAATTTTTTAAGTCTATCCGATTATTCTGGTACATAAATAATACAAATGACTAAATCCAGGATCAAACACCATTGTCCATGAAAATGAATAAAACATAAATAACATCACCCTAACTTTCAACAGACTACTATAAAATCCCCCATAGCTCCATAAACCAGTTACACCACAAACAACTATTCAACATAAACTAAAAAGCTAAACAAACCTTCTTACACCATGAAGCTCATATCAATCCCCCAAACGAGTAATAATATCATGCTCATGACGAAGTTCCTCAACCCAATCACAAAAAACACCAACAGGGACAACTTCAACCACAACAGGTATATATCTATGACCAGCCCCGCAAATCTCTGAACACATACCATAATAAACACCAACATTATCAAACCACAACAAATGCCTATTATTAATACCAGGTAAAGCATCCAACTTAAAACCATATCTAGGTAAAAACCAAGAATGAATAACATCAGTAGAAGTAATATTAACACAATTATAAACACCCACAGGTAAAACTAAACGATTATCTACCTCTAACAAACGCAAATCCCCCAAATTCAAAGAATTCCCTCTCACCATATAAGAATCAAATTTCATCCAATCTCCCAACCCACTATAATCATAAGTCCAAAACCATTGATGACCAATAACCTTAACATTAAGCCTCGCATCCTTTAATTTAGCATCATCCATAATAACTCTATCCCAATACAACAAATCATAAGAAAAAACAATCTGAATAAACAAAATAATAATAGGAATAACACCACATCACAACTCCAAAAACTTTCTTCTATAACTAAAATACTTAACCCTCCTACCATTAAAAAACACCAGAACCATAGCACCTAGAACAAAACACAGAATAGCCGTTATAAAAGCAATAACAAAATCAATCAAATAACACTGACCTATATTAAATATACAACTATAAAAAGAACCCAAAAAATTAAACATCAAAACTTCAAAACCTAACCGCAGACAACGACTTATACTCCATTATACTAAAGTTTTAACAAAAAAA